TTCATACTCTTCTCTTAAGAGATCTTTTTCTTTGGCCTGCTTGAATGCATTACACACCGAACACTGATCCTTTTTTTGGACGATAAAAAATCTGGTTTAAAATCATGAAAAATACTTTGGTACACAAACTTTGAGACCGAACTTAAACTATTAGAAGTAGAAACGTCTTGATATAATCGGTACACGATGGAAATGTTTAAATCTACATTTAAATAGTTTTTAGGTGAATCACGCCTGCAGTAATGCGACTGAATTCTTGGAAATGAGTTAATATGATCCTTAACTTGCTGCCGTTGTATCTCAGCAGTTGCATTGTAGGGTTTGCTATTCTTTCTTTTATCATAGCCGACAAAAATTCACTTATTCATTATTCCTTCAACACACTTCTCGACAACTTTACGAGATATAGCTAACGTGGCTGTAAAAAACTTGAGGCTGACTCGATGTCTTTGCCCATTATTATCTATTAAATGATATAACCTTGACTCTTTTCGATTTTTTGTTATGGGAGTTTGTTTGCTTCTAGATACATTCACTATTTGTATCAAAGAACTCAATAGCGTTTTTTGTCTCGTATAATCTGCTAAGCTGTAGTAATCTGCTCACAGTTGTGCCCTTTGCTCTTCGGAAAATAGTTTTTGACATTTAAACCTGCACTTAGAGCAATCTGTTGGACGAAGACTTTTTTCTGTAATTTCCTTTCCGGTGCGATTAATGTATTTTTTACCACTAATTCTTAACTACTTTACAATTGATCCTTTCCATTCCTTTTTATTGGCTTTTCTGCCAATTTTGGTAGAAAACTAAAATTGGCAGAAAAACCAGACATCTCTGCATTGGCAGTAAATCAGAAAGATTTGCGGCGACGTTTTTTTGGTATTTCATCCGGTTCCTTATCTTTTGGATTGTTTTTATCAACATTTTCAGATTCAGTGCTTTCTTCTGACAGATGATAAGAATTTCCCGATGAAGCATAGAGATTATATTAATCAAGATCACTACCATTATATGAGTCAAATTATTGAATCTGGTGATTAATGTTTTTATCACACAAATTTTCGTTTGTTTCATCAGTTTCTTGTACTTGATTTAGAATGATAGTTTCTGTTATATCAATTTCTACATTGTCTGGTACTCCTTCAGTAGTTTTTTCCAATGCCGGAGTTATTGTGGTAACTGAAATAAATAATTATTTTTAAGTAAAACAAGATGGTTTTACAGTCGACACCTTACTCTACCTTTAAGCTCTTTTCCTACATCATCTAACGTCATCTATAGTATCTTCCCGATCTGGACGCCATAATTATAATTACAATTATTTTATACCACTTTTCATAAATCAAATAACAACTTAACAACTGTCACTGTCAAATAACCTTAAAACGCAAAAGAAGTATGTGTTCACCTCACTCATTTGTAATGATTGCACAAGAAACACAAAGGTACTAAGTGCTCTTCCAACCTTTGTGCTAGATTCCTACAATTTATTAGTACTTACCACTTTCGTTAGATGACGTCAGCTAATTTAAAATTATAATTATCAGTTAGCTCGAGTGTGCATATGAAACTCCTTGCTAGTCTTCATTTCGGAATGCATTTAACTCATTTTGCCAAAAAAGTCACTTAACACCTGTGTGTGCTAGACCAACGATATTTTGTTGAACAGATCTAAAAGTGTATGCAGTGTTTCTTCGTCAATGCATTTAATTAGCTCAGTGGGTATCTGATCTGGGCCTACTGATTTTGCAGTCTTTGCTTTTCTAATTGCCTGTTCTACTTAATTCGTATATTATTATTTTCAGTCCTGTTTGTCCTGTGGTTCTTGTATCTTTCTATCATCGTCGACTAGTCTTATTATGTATTCTTGCCAAAATCTTAGTTTATCTTTGATGTCTGCAATAAGTTTACCATTATCATCTTTGAGTATCCCATAGTGTGCTCGCTTTTTCTTATTTGTTAGTTCTTTTATTTTTTATGTATTTTAAACTGTCGTATTTTTTGTCATACTATTTCTATGTATTGATCTGCTAACCACTTTTCCTTGGCCTTTTTTATCTCTACTTTAATTCTACTTTGTAGTTCTTGATATTTTAGCTCATTTCTCCCTTTGGCTTTTCTCCTCTCTTCCATTTATGCTAGAATTTCCGAAGTCATCCACTTCTTTTTTTTTATTTGTCTTTTCAGACTTTAAATTTTCTTCAGCGGCCTTTAGTAATGCCTTCTGAATATTGCTCCACTTTTCATTGCCATCTTCTGATGTTAGAAAAATATAGAAAAAGAATAGAAGTAATAGAAATGGATTTCTATTACTTCTAAGGAGAGCGTGTCAGGAATGAAGATATTAGAATGAGGACAAATACTGTATATTCCAGTGTAGACAGAATTAAAACGAGACAACTAGTGTGGTATGGTCATGTGAAGCGAATGAATGAAGATAGATGGCCAAAGAAAGCTTTAAATATCACAACAAAGAATAAGAAGGGGAAGACCATCAGTTGCCTGGGAAGAAAATGTACGACACCTAATGAGAGATAGAGCCATCAAAGAAGACGAATGGATGGACAGAGAACGATGGCGGTCGAAATGCGAGAAGCGGCAGAGGCTGTAGGAACCTCGCTTATATATGTATCTTCTGATGTTACGATTTCTCCTCCTATTTCTGTTAGATTTGAGTTGACTTGTTGGATCACTTTTTGATGTATTTCACTTTTTCTTCTTCTTCTGGGTCCTATCCGTTTCGGATGTTGGAAATCATATTGGCAATCATAACCTTGCTCGCTGCGGCTCGAAACAGCTTCGTTGAGGTTTTCTTAAACCATGTTCTTAAATTCCGCAGCCATGATATTCTCCTCCTACCGGGTCCCCGCTTACCTTTGACTTTACCTTGCAATATAGACTGTAGCAGGGAGTAACGGTGCTGATTTCTCATAACGTGTCCCAGATATTGCAATTTTATGCGTTTGATCGTAAACACAATCTCTGGTTCCTTCTTCATTTTTTCTAGAACTTCCTTGTTCGTGACCCTTGCTGTCCATAATATTCTCAGCATTCTTCTATAAAGCCACATCTCAAATGCTTCAAGTTTTTTAATAGTGGTGTCTGTAAGCGTCCATGCCTCCGCCCCGTACAACAACACAGAGAAAACATAGCATCTCAAATGTCTCATTTTTGTATCAAGGGATATGTTGTGACTTTTGAAGATGGCGCTCATTTTGTTAAAGACCGTTCTTGCCTTTCCTATGCGGCACTTTATTTCCTGTACATTGTTTCACTGTTCGTTTATAATAGTTACCAGGTAGCAATACTGTTTTACTCGCTCTATCTGCGTCCCATTAATGTATAGATGAGCCTCGTTTATATTCTCCTTGCTGATAATCATTTGTTTCGTTTTGTGGGTATTAATGTTTAGTCCGTACTGTTTACTGTGCTCGTTTATTCTGTCCATTAGCCTCTGAAGTCCCTCTAAACTATCTGCTATCACCATGGTGTCGTCGGCATATCTAACATTGTTTACTCTTTCACCATTTAGAAGGATGCCTTCGTCTATTCCGTAAAGAGCCTCGTTAAAAATTTTCTCTGAGTACATATTAAATATCAACGGCGATAGGATACATCCCTGTCTAACTACACATAGTATTTTTATGTGATCTGTTTCGTCTCTTATTAATCGTTAATTTTCATGTATGCGGTCTGATTCCAGTAGAGTTCTGAAATTATTCTGAGGTCTTTGTCATCCAGGTCTTCCTCTTTTAAAATGTTTATCATCTTTTTATGTTGAACTCTGTCAAATGCCTTTTCATAGTCGATCAAGCACGCGTATACGTCGCAGTTAACGTCCCTGCATCTTTGAATCAGTACCTGTACTCCGAAAAGTGCCTCTCTGGTACCCACTGCTTTAATGAAGCCGAACTGTCTGTCTGATATTTGTTCCTCGCACTTCTTATAAATTCTTCCATGGATGACTCTAAGAAACAGTTTCAACATGTGGCTCATTAGGCTGATTGTTCGATATTCTTCGCACTTTTTAGCCCCCTGTTTTTTAGGTATCGCTATGAATTCTGATTCTAGCCAATTATCAGGGATGATTCCTGTATTGTATATTTTATTAAAGACAGCCGTGATCCAATTTATTCCTTCTTCCACCAAGAGTTTTAAAAATTTAGCTTCGATATTATCAGGCCCTACAGCTTTCCTGCTTTTCATCCGTTTTATTGCTTCTTCTACCTCGGATTTAAGTATGTCCGGGCCCGTCATCCTTTCTGAAAATAGATGCCTATAATCCGTTCTTTGATCTTGAAAAAGTGTCTCCAAATATATTCTCCATTTGTCTTTCATCTCTTGGGTGTCAATGATTAATTTTCCATTGGTGTCTATGAGTTTCATTTGTGTTCGCTTTTTAAAAGTACCCGTTATTTCTTTTACCTTTTTGTGTACATTAAAATTGTCATGCTTGGTTTGTAGTCTTTATATTTCTTTACATTTCTCTGCAGCTTCTTTTTCTTTAGCTTCTCTTATTTTTCTTCTGATGTAAGCCTGCATTTTTTTATACCCATCTTTATTTCCTTTAATTAACCTTCTGCCTTCCATTAAGTGAAGGATTTCTGGAGTCATCCAAGATTTCTTCTTTGTTTCTTGGTTTGGTTTAAGCAGTTTTTCTTAATTTTATATACTCAAACGTTGGCGTAATTCTTATTCAAGTGCACTTAAATCCTGGGTCGACAACTCAACAAAAAAGGGATTGCGTTGCGTATCTATTCAAATTTAGAATAATTTTCTGTGAAGTACTCTGAAGTACATGTACACAGGTTGGGAACCGCTGCCCTAGATCAACTAAACTTTTGACAAAGAACAGATGCCGACCTATGGTGTAAGATAGCAATAATAATAGTTTAATAACATTTCTCAACATTGTTTGCTGAAACTAATATGTATGCTATTTTTTGTTTGTATTCTTGCTACCGCGTTTTTGTATATTTATTTATGTATTTATTTTGTTTTAGTTAAACGGAGAATACATCATCAAAGCATTAACTGAACAAGTGATACATTATAATATACACACATCTTTATTTGATATTGTACTAGTAGCTTTTTGCAGATTTTGTGTATTAATAATATTTTATGCTATGTTATACAAAAGTCATTGGATTGTGATCTCAGTAAGTAACATTTGTACCAATATAGTTGGTTATTATATAATTTTATATTTTAGTTATCAACAGCTGGAACGTGTGGGTTCCTCATTGCAAAAGTGCTATACTTTGATGTAAGTATTTTTAAGAATATAGATTTTCATTACATATTGCATTAAAAGTTCACTGCACGTCTTCAATGACATTTCTACATTGTCACTATATATAGCCAATTGCTGCTGCTTAGAAATTCCCTCTCGATTATTTTAGAACTATTTTATTAATTCATTTGACTTAATAACACAAAACATAGAAACACCAATGTTTTTTAATTACCACAGAATATCTTCAGCTTGACACGTTTCGCTGTATAGTCCGTCCCAAACCCTTCTTTCCGTGCGTCATAGTTGATCGAATTCTCTCTAACGCATTAAGCTAGAAGTGACAGAAAAAAACGTGAGTCTGTGATTATTATACATAGAACTTAGAAAATTATGTATCGTTTACGGGTATTTGCATATTAAAGCGAATTCTACTTACTGATGTATTATTGGTTGGAGTTTAGAATACGCTAAATAGATATCCAATCAGTGATGAGCATAAATATAATTTGACGCAGATGGTCTCGATCATGACAGTACTTTCACAATGTCAACTGATAAAATGATCATTGTCATTCCAGGTTAGTATTTTTAGACTTTAACTTAACTAACTAACTAACTTTAGTTGAATAGATTAAATTATATCAAATGTACTAAATTATTAATCCCTAAAAGTTTAAATTACAGTTCTGTCGTAGCTTGTCACAAACTTCTCAATTCGAGTCTATGTTTCCGTCTAAAACATGGCGTTCGTGTGCTGACAAACTTCAAAGGCGGCATCTTAGAGTGGGCATTCTGGTTGTTTATTATTCTGTTTATCCTGTGTATTTATTGTCATAAAAATATTTTAAATATGCCGAGATATACCGAGAATGAACAAGGACTAATATTTAAATTATTTTTTTTATTATTGAGTTAATGCCTCGACGACTAAGATCATTGGCATGGTACAGTCAGGTACCTAGTGTAGTGTGTGTGTGTGTGTGTGTGTGTGTGTGTGTGTGTGTGTGTGTGTGTGTGTGTGTGTGTGTGTGTGTGTGTAGAGTAATTGTCTTGATGCTTAGCAAAGTCGACGTCATTGTCTTTGCCAAGAGACGCTAATTGTATCCGAACGTCTGCGGTCCCTCCGGTGAGTAACGATCGCACAAGGATAGACATTATTTGCATTCATTAATTTTTTAATAAACGAAAATTTCTCCACCCAGATGAGATTCGAACTCACGATCTTTAGGTTTAAAGGTATGCGCTCTTACCACTGAGCCACAGAGGGGGTTTATTTAAATTATTTTCAATTAGAAAAGGGGGCTGGGACAACTCTATTACCAGTTTCTGCCGTTCGTAAAGTAAGTTCTAAATTATTCTAAAAAATATTAATAGTAGTTTAAATACTATACATTTTACCGTGTTGCCGAGGCGTTAGGAGTTTCGTCAGTCAGAGAGTCAAACAGTCAAACATATACTAGCTATTCTGTGGCAATAAGTACTTCAGTATGTGATAATCTAGGACCTTCATTAACCAATAAATATTAACATGTTTGGTTTTTTATACAGGACGGGGCCTCTAATATGTCAATTAAACAAAAATTTGAATTGTTAAAGTTTTTGTTCCACATTTAAAAAAATAAACTTTTCACATTTAGTCGATTACGATCCTGCAACTGTCAGATTTAACTAAAATGTCATGCATTAATTCTCGACATTCTTAAAATTCTATATGACGTCAAAATTACTTACGCACTGAAAGAAGGGTTTGGGACAGACTTTACAGCAGTTTTCTCAGAAGAGAAACATTAAACTATAAAAAAATTATTACTATTGTACATATTAGTTATAACTATTCATGTATGAAAACAATTTGCAATCCTCCCTAATAAATTACTTATCATTGTCACTTTTACCTACTAAACTGCCGTTAGATAATAATGGGTACCTCCCAATATCTATTTGTTCATTGAGAATTAAAGGGTACCCGTATTAAGATAGGTAAAATGCTCTTAATTGGAGAATTTAATTTTTTTACATTATATGTGGCTCAGCGCAATTGTATCCCGCCACCATTTACCCCACCTCTTACCACCAAAAACGTCATTTTTTGGTTTTTATTTTTTTTTTTTAGGCGGGATGCAATCTATTTACAAATTTCAAAAAAAATTCACGTAGTTAAGGCTTTTACAAACCTTGTCTATTTATAGAACATGGTGCATTTCTCTTGTAGAGTCGTTCAACAGTGATTCTACATTGGATTTTTCCTCGGTGATTTAATGTAGAAAATGTTTTGGTGTTATTTTCATTCTTATTTTTGCTAGTGCTAGTTTGTGTTCACTCCCTGCATCTGCTGAGTTTAAAGATCGGATATCTAGAATCTGCTTTGGGTGTATTTTTCTATTAGTGACTATAAAATCAATAATAGGTTTGTGCGTTCTGGCGACATGGTTTTTATTAAATCTTTGTTTTACTCCTCGAACTATTTCATTTCCAATTCGTGCATTAAAGTCACCCATAAGAATTAGGGGTTCTTCATGAGGTATTTCATCCAGGATGGTTTGCAATTGTTCGTAAAATGCCTCTCGTTCCTCCTTAGGTTTGCAGTTCTCGGGGCTATAGATAGATATGACATTTAATTTTTGGTAGTCGTGATGTTCATATGTATTAGTCTTTCGGGTATCGGTAGTTATTTATGTAGTCTTTAAATTTTTTATGGACAAGTATACCTACACCTGCTCGTACTCGTTTTTCTTTCTTCACTCTACTATATATATATATATATATATATATATATATATATATATATATATATATATATATATATAGTCCCAAGATTCCTAAGAGGAACATAGGGCTTCCACAAAGTGTCTCCAGCGAACTCTATTTCTGGCTAGTGCTTTGATTTCAAGCCAGGATTTTCCCATTTTTCTCCCTTCGTCCAGTACTGTCCTTCTCCAAGTTCCCTTAGGTCTGCCTACTTTCCGTCGGCCTTGGGGATTCCAATCCAGCGCTGTCCTGGCAATGTCATTTGGCGGTCTACGGAGTGTGTGGCCCAGCCATCTCCATTTTCTTCGCCTTATTTGCTTTATGACATTTTCTTGGTTGCTTTGGTTCCATAAATTTTCATTGGAGATTCGGTTAGGCCAAAATATACGAAGGATTTTTCGTAACGCTCTATTGATGAAAACTTGTAATTGGTGTACTATGGGTGCTGATATCTTCCACGTTTCGCAGCCATACAGTAATACAGCTTTTACATTTGTGTTGAAGATTTTTAATTTCGTTTTAGTTGCGTAAATCCTGGATTTCCATATGTTGTTAAGCATGTTGTAGGCGTTGCGAGCCTTATTTATTCTTTCATGTACATCACGCTCTGTACCCCCATTACAGTCAATTATGCTGCCCAGATATACAAATTCCGCTACTCTCTCAATTTTCTGGTCGTTGATCATAATAGGTTGGTTGTTTCTGGTACCAAATCGCATTTCTTTGGTTTTGTTGATGTTTATTTCTAGACCAACCTTCTTTGATTCTTCTTGTACTTTGTTTACTTGGAGTTGCATGTCCTGTTTTGTATGTGCTAGGAGGCATATATCATCAGCGTAATCTAGGTCTTCCAGTCTGTTTGTTAATCCCCAGTAAATTCCTCTATTAGAGTTTACCTTTGTTAGTACGGAGTCCAGTACAATGTTAAATAGTATGGGGGATAAAACACAGTCCTGCTTTACTCCGTTTAGCATAGCTATTGGGTCAGATGTTATGCCGTTGTGTAGGATTTTGCTTTCTGTGTCACTGTAGAGTTCTTTGATGAGATTTACTATTTTTTCTGGTATTCCTATTTCCTGCAGTGCTTTCCATATGGCCGTATGTGTGAGCGTGTCAAAAGCTCTCTTGAAGTCCACAAAGCACACAAAGAGAGGAGAGTTGAATTCCTGTGACTGTTCTACAATTATTCTTAGTGTGTTAATTTGGTCCACGCATGATCTGTTTGGTCTGAAACCGGCTTGTTCCTTCCTCAACATTGGTTCTACACTGTTTGTTAGTCGGTTGTTTATAATTATTGCTATTAATTTATTTATAGTATTCAGAAGTGTGATTCCTCTCCAGTTTTCGCAATATCTTCTGTCACCCTTTTTTGGTATCTTTATTATTAATCCCGTTTTCCATTCTTTGGGGAACTTTTCCTCTCTCCAAGCCCTTTTCAAGAGTGGTTGGATTAGCTCTGCCACTGTACCTGGGCAAGCTTTTAACAACTCTGGTGAAATATTGTCAGGGCCGGCTGCTTTGTGTGCTTTCAGTTTTTCTATGGCCATTTCTATTTCTTGCGTTGTTGGTTCGTTGGTGTTAATTCTCATTTGGATATTGGGTATTAGGTTTTCTGCGTCTTCTGGTGGTGTTGGGACTGCACTTAGAGATTCGCTAAAATATTCATGCCATCTTTTGATTTGTTCCTGTGGCGTTGTAATATCTTCACCTGTAGCACTTTTTACAATTGGTTGGTGGGTAGTATATCTTTTATTGGCTAGTTGTTTAGTGATATTATATAATTGTCTCATGTTTTGATGTTCATCGGCGACTCGCGCTTCTTCGGCAAGATTTTCTGCCCACTTTCTTTTGTCTTTCTTTGCTGCCTTCTTGACAGCTTGATTCGCTTCTCTATAACTTTCTCTAAGTCGGTTCTTCTCTGCTGCTGTCTTGGAATTTAGTAATTCTAGATTAGTGTGTTTGCGACGTTCTATTTTGTTCCACGTTTCTCTCGTAATCCACTCTTTCTTTACGTCTTTCTTTAGGCCCAGCACTTTTTCACTTGTTTCCACAAGGGCTTTGCTAATCGTTTCCCAATTTTTGTCCTGTCTTTCGTCGATTTTGGATCTCAGCTGTCGTGCGAATTCTACTTTCGTCTCGTTATTTTGTAGTTTCTCAATGTTGAACTTTTTTCGAATAGGTTTGTTCAGTTCTTTTCTATTCCTAGCTATTTTGAATCTAATTTCGGCCATCATCAGGTAGTGATCACTGGCCGCATCTGCGCCTCTTCACTCTACTGTATGCTAGAAAATATTGGTTATAGTCTCTTTGGCCTTTACATTTCTTCTTGGTTTCTTGGATTGCACAAATGTCTATGTTTTTATTTATCAGTTCTTCTATTATCTCTTGGTATTTGTTGTTGAAAGAAGTAATATTTCATGTTGCTAATCTGATTGTAGGCTTATTTTTGGTTCTCGTTCTCCTTTTCTTTGCGGGGTTCGTCATGTTAGGTTGCGTCTCGTTCCGAGGCTTTATATCGGTTCTTTGAGTCTTGTTTTCTTTTACAATGGGTAGGATGCTATCCTAGCCCATCATCCCTCTATAACCCTCCCATAAGAATTATTTTCTGTGCTAAATAGTTGGTTCGTGAAAGGGCAGCTGACTGCAAAAATTTGGGATGGAAAGACAGAGACAAACAGAGATTAGAGAGTGACTTAGTGGCTGGATAATTAAGAAGTAGAGATATGCTAATTATCTAACTTGCTAGCAGGTTTAAAAGGAACAGTGTAATAAATATACACTGCCGCTCCGTTTATCGACGCTGTTAAAATAAACTAGAATTATTCAATGAAAATAAAAAGAAGAATTAATAAATGGTAAAAATACCATAATAAGGTTAGCTTTCCTGACTTTTTGGAGAACTTAGTTAAACTTCAGTTTTGACATAATTGACTTGTTAAAAAGTGATTGTCAGTGACGATTTAATATAAACGGTAATTTATTTTTTTCATTTTATAAACAAAAATTTATCTGTTTTGAAGACCTATTTACACGACTTTTCTGAAAGCAGTTTCAGGGAAAACCAACATTACTTCAACTGTGTTTGGCGTCTTGCTCGACGATCGGGTATGTTGTTAGAACTGATAGTTTATTTATAGAAAAATTGACAGAGTGATTGAGCGGATTAAGATGTGGATGAATGAAAAGAAGTCTGATCAGGATCCGTAAAAATAGGGACAATATTGTTAGTAGGGCGACGAGGAAGTTGGCCTAAATTTACAGTGGAACCTTAGGATAGCTGTTTATGTTGAGGAAAACCATCCCAATGCATGTTGTTATTGAATGTTGTCAATGAATGTCGAATCTAGAAAAAGTGCGAGAAGACTACTAAGTATACTTGGTATTGCACTCCATATTCTTGTATGGAATGAATGGAGGTTTTCAAGATCTTAAAGTATGATTTCAACAATAAAGAATTCCACAGAACTTGTTTGTATTGATTCTCCGCGGATAGAACGATTGGAATTCAAATAGAGAATAAATAAGAGTACAAATATTATAAATAGCAGTAAACCACAAGAATGTACAAGTTTTAATATATGAATGAGTTGTTTCGTATTCTGGTATTCCGCTAAGTATTTTTAAATGATACTAAACGTACTAGAAATTAACAAAATACGTTATTGAAATCGCAAATCGCAAGTCTAGTTTTGATTATTTTTCATCTGGCATCCTACTGCATTGTTTATTCCAGATATTTCGTTTTGCGCTCTAGTCACGAGGAATATTCGAGATGCAGCGTAATTTTTCATCGTTTGGTAGGAATAGGGAAAGGCCTATATGCAGAAATAACGATATATTTAAAACATTTTATGTGTTTAGGTGTAAAAATGTAGCAAATTTATAGTAATAAAAGTATACTAAATATTTCATTTTTTTCAGTGGCCTCATTCTTCTCAGCCAGTTTTTGAAGTACTTTTAGTCTTAACGTCATTTATTCTTGCATGGGGTGAAGTATGGTTCCTTGATTTTCGAGTAATCCCACAAGAAAATTTTGCTAGTAGATTTATTGTAGGTAAGTGAAGTTTAATTAATAACAAAACTGAAATATCTTTTGTACTACAAAAAAAAATTTAAAAAAAAAAAACGTTTTTTGGAGGAACCTGGGCTTAAATATCTTACATTAAATTTGTTTTTTCTTCTTAGTATTAACTTTTTAGTAACTAACTTATTAAAATATTCAAAAAAAAACTACAAACTCATATCTATCACAATTCATAGGAAACAAGATCTAATAGCAAGTATCTTCAATATAGAAGGCACATTTAATACCATCTTTAAAAACGCTTTTCTTGACAAACTTTCTCAATGTAACCTTACTCGCAACATATACGAGTTTATAAGAAAAACGTCCTAATCTAGAACTTAAATGGTTTGTGTCAATAGCTTCCTTTCTTCTCCACATATTAAACATGATGGTGTTCCTCAATTTCAGTTCTAAGGTATTATTCTCTTCTCCTTATTCATTCTTGCGATTAGCAAGTTAAGTCACAATATTGCCCCACCAATCAATGCGTATTATATGCCGATGTTCTAATAATGTACTGAGATGGTAAATACAACCCAATTACTAGTAAAATTCTGCAGTTAGCCGTAAATGATCTGCAAAACAAAGTTGTTTCTCTAGGACATTCTAAATACAAAGTTATTAAATTTAACAGAAAAATTAATTCTTTTAACCCTGAAATAATTGTGAACAACTTTAAATTACCGGTTGCTGATAATTGCATAATATTAGGGCTGATATTTGATTCAAAATTAATCTGGAAACTAAAGGAGTATGCCTAAAAAGGCTAAATATAATTAAAATACTCTCACATTATCGTTGTGCTCAATTATGGATGTTTCATTTACCTAAATGTCTGCAACTAGCCCCATCATTCACTAAATACAGTACACAATACGGCTAGGTATTGGAGCATTCTGTTCTAGTCCGACAGAAAGTATTTACTATAAAGCTAATGAACCTCGTCTATGGCTTACGCGCGAGTACCCTCTTTCCTATACTGCTGTAATTTCTTCCAATGATTCCAATCCAGTATATTCTTAATTACATCACCACATCAACCCCACAACAATCCATCAAGTTACGTAATTACACATCATTTTCCTAGTCTTCTACAGCTATTATTAGAATATTTAAAGTTGTCTCAAACCAGAACTCTACGACTCTTTAATAATCCCTATTGGACCAATATCATTGGATGATAAGGTCCGAGCAACCTGCGTCCTACATATGTAAGGATGTCAACGTTTATTGCTCTACCAAAGAAAACAAAATCCCTATCCTGCAATGATTTTCGGACCATCAGCTTAATGAGTCACATTTTAAAGTTATTGTGAAGTGATGATATGAAGAAAAAATCAGCCGTATTAATTTTGTACACAATTTGATTTTCGGAACTCAGTAGGTACGAGAGAGGCTCTGTTTAGCATATAAGTGCTATTTGAACGATTTAGAGATGTTAATTGCGATATTTGTGCATGCTTCGATACAGTTAAACACGACAAGCTGATGGAGATATTAACAAATATTGGATAAACACCTGTGATCTAAGAATTATTAGCAATCTTTACTGGAATCAATCATCGTCTATCCGTACAAAGGCAGGAGAATCCGATTATATCAAAATCAAACGTGGGTTCCGACAGTTATGTATACTATCACCCTTGCTGTTTAACATATAATCTGAGGAAATCTTTCAAGAAGCAGTAGAGGATGTTGAAGTCGGAATTCGAATTAACGGTGATACGCAGATGACACGGTGGTATTCGCTGACAGTTTAAAGCCCTCTAGGAGTTAATAAATAGAATCACAGAAGTGAGTGAGAAATATGGACTTTCACTGAACATTAAGAAAACAAATGTATGATGTTATCTAAGAAGGAACAGCAAATTAAAAGAATTAGTGTGAATGCTCAACCAATAGAAAGAGTATAATACACCTACCTTGGTACGAACGTCAATGAAAATTGGACCATCCCATCAAGATCTGCATTTCAAAAATGACCGATTTCTGCTATTCAAATGCCATGATTTATTAGTACCCATAAAAATCAGGTTACTGCGATTTTATATGTTTCCCATACTATACTGTTATACGGAGTTAAGTCGTGGACTCTCACAGACGCTACCTTAAAGAAAATGGAGGCTTTCAAAATATGGATTTATCGTCGAATCCTAAACCGACCACGTTACCAACAAGGACGTTTTATTGAGAATGCAAAAAGCAAAAGAGTTTTTAAACACAATAAAAATAGCCAAAATCGAATACCTCGGACATATCATGAGGAACAGCTAAAGATATGGGTTGCTGCAATTAATTCTATAAATAAAAGTAGAAGGAAAACGAGAACCAGGAAGGATTTCCCCTTCATTATCATCATCTTGGTACAGCCCTTAGGGAGCCTCGACCTTCTCAAGCTTTCTACGCCATTCTGTTCTGTCCCTTGATTGCATTTTCCAGTTGCCGACTCCGATCTTCTCCGCATCTTGTGTTACCCCATCCATCCACCTCAGCTTTGGTCTACCCCGTCTTCTCATTCCCACGACTTGCGCTGTTAGAATCTTTTTTATCATGTTCGACTCAGAGGCCCAGGCTACATGTCCTGCCCACTGCAGGTGGTTTCGCTTGATTATAGTGGTAATATCTTTACCACCAAACGTATGCTTGTAGATATTCTGCAGTTCAAAGTTATATCTACGCCTCCATATTCCGTTCTCACAGACCGCTCCAAATATCTTGCGTAGCACCTTTCTTTCAAAAATCGATAGAGCGGATTCATCTGTTTTAGTTAGCGTCCATGCCTCTGATCCATATGTGAGAACGAGGACTATCAGTGTTCTATACAGCCTTATAGGAGTTTTTTGAGACAGATGTTTATTCGCTAAGTACTTTGATAGACCATGATAACACCTGTTTGCAATTATTATTCGCCTTTTTATTTCCTCAAATGTGTTATTATTAGGGTTAACCGATGTCCCTAGATATATGAACTCTTTGACTGCTTCGAAGTTTTGGTCATTGATGATTAAATTTTCGTCAACATTTCCAGCTCTTGTGTTTGTGTCAGTCGCCATGAATTTGGTTTTATTTTGATTTATATGTAACTCTATTCGTTCTGCTGCTGCTACTAGCTCGGTTAGGAATTCCGCAGTTCTCGCCTTGGTTCTTGTTATAATGTCCACATCGTCTGCATATGCTAGAATTTGGACTGATCTATTTAGTATTGTTCTCCTGCTATCTAACTTAGCGTCTCGTACAACTTTTTCTAAGGCGACATTAAAAAGCTGACACGCCAGCGTGAGCATATGAGTTTTTTTGAAATTCCTAACTCATTCATAGCGTTATAAAGACTTATTCTTAAGACACTGTCATATGCCGCTTTAAAATCGACAACATATCTATGTTAAACTCTTGCGCTTTCTCGAGGATCTGTCGTAGTGTAAAGATCTGGTTAATGGTTGAACGTCCACGTTTGAATCCTGCCTGATATTCTCCTAGAAACATTTCGGTATAAGGCTTTAGTAAAAGAGCTAGGACAGTTCGAGGCCAAAATCGGTCATTTTCCCATGTAAATCTCCATAAGAAAATCTAAGGTCCATTCTGGTCATTTTTGACGCTTTTCGAAGTGGAGGCGCGACCACTAGTCGGATCGCGACGTATGAGGTGTCAAACGAACGGGAAGGGGACGGGGAACACGTAGAGGGAAAAAACAAAGATGGCGGCATAGTCAAAACGGCACTATAACGTATCTCCGGATCTATTGGTCCGATTGCAACGTATGAGGTGTCAAACGAACGGGAAGAAAACGGGGAACACGTAGAGGGAAAAAACAAAGATGGCGGCATATTCAAAACGGCACTATAACGTATCTCCGGATCTATTGGTCCGATTGCAACGTATGAGGTGTCAAACGAACGGGAAGAAAACGGGTAACACGTAGAGAGAAAAAACAAAGATGGCGGTATAGTCAAAATGGCACTATAACGTATCTCAGGGTCTATTGGTCCGATTGCAACGTATAAGGCGTCAAATGAAAGGGGAGGGGTAACGAATACATTGAGATGAAAAACAAGCAACAAAATCAACGCCAAAATGGCACTATAACGTATCTCGGGGTCTATTGGTCCGATTGCAACGTATGAAGCGTTAAACGAAAGGTGAGAGAATAATGTATACATCAAGATGAAAACATGAAACAAAATCAATGCCAAAACGGCACTATAACGTATCTCAGGGTCTATTGGTCCGATTGCAACGTATAAAGCGTCAAATGAAATAGGAGGGGGTAACGAATACATTGAGATGAAAAAACAAGCAACAAATCAATTTCAAAATGGCACTATAACGTATCTTAAGGTCTATTAACCTGATTACTACGTATGAGGTATCAAATGAATATAACGTACAGCAGCGGCTTTCGCTGGAAATAAAACGAATAGGAACGTTTACCATTCTTACACTATGACCAAACCAACATTCATTCACTCTATAATCTCCACAGTAACACATGAAAAGTAACGAGCTGCATACTATATTTTATACATACTACATAAAAATGTTAGCAAGGACAGTCAAGCAATAAGTAATGCATAAATGTAATAAGTAATGGGTAATGTAATAAGTAATAAACTGCTGTTAGTATCTAAGCAAAGGAATGATAGTAAGTTAACGAATATAGAGCCATGTATAAAAATGATTAAAAGCATGCCATGAAAGGAACGTAGTCAATTCGGTTCAAACAAACATTTGTTGAAAAACAAAAATTTATTCTTAACGGCAGTCACCAACGTGAAGGTACGACTACACGACCGCCGGGAGAGGTAATGTTAGTATGGGACAAACAGTTAGTATGAATGAAGTCATTTACATAATATGATAATTTATTTAATAATTATACTTAACTTATTAAGATCAGCACATAATTTAACATGGTTTAGAAGACATCTTTTATTGATGGACATCTTTTATGTTAAGACATCGACACTTTGGTGTAAATTCATTAGTTACTA